CCCAAACCCCGCCCTCTCCCGGATCCACCCCCAAAGTCTCCAGGTATTTTCCAGCCCATACCTGGCAACCCTAGGGCACAGAATAGTTAACAAGAATGGGCACAGTAGTAAGACCAATGAAAAAAAGGAAAAAGAACGGTGACAGTTTAGCGCTTGGTAATATATTCATAAATCGTAATATACAATAACAGAAAATAAGTAATATAGTGAATGTAGACGGTGGTCTCCGGAATGGTGTGCCGTTTCGACAATGATCTTCTTCTGAACATTCAGCAATTATAGCCCGTTGAAGAACATAGCTGTAAGCACAGCCTCATGATGAAGTGAATCAACAGTATATTTCCAATACGTCACCAAGAAATGAATTGTTGAAAGACAGTTTTTGTACACACCCTTGTTCAGAAGAAGATCATTGTCGAAACGGCACACCATTCCGGAGACCACCGTCTACATTCACTATATATATTACTTATTTTCTGTTGTTGTATATTATGATTTATGAATATATTACCAAGCGCTAAATTGTCACAGTTCTTTTTCCTTTTTTCATTAACCCTAGGGCACAGCCACAAAACGAGTGCCGTAAAATTTTATTTTATTTATTTATTTATCAGACTGATATCCCGCCCTCCCCGCCAGGGCAGGCTCAGGGCGGCTAACACGGCCATGATAAACCATTACGACAATAAAAGAGTATAATAATTGAACCATTCAAAATCAAAGAAACCATTTAAAATACCACTCACAAGAGATAGCGGAACTGTCTTAAACATCCACCCTCGGGGGAAACGGCAGCTGATGTCAGGCTCATTCGGGTAAAATGGCTGCCGCTGCTTCCTTTCAGTCACACAGTGAAGACCCTTGCACAGCCAATCGTATCCAATGGCCAATCAGAAACCGTGCTGGGCAAAAGCCCCACCTGGCCACTCCCACATTCCAAAAACACTTGGCAGGCACCAAGAAAGGTGTTGGCCACGGCAACCACGGGGGCCATGTTGGGGGACCCCTGCTCTAGAGGATAAGACCTCACAATGGCTCTTAGTTATGGCAGCTACTGTGGAGAGGTACGTAGAAGTACCTCCAACCGGCAATGAGGGGTGCTCCTTCCCCTCTTGCTCTCCTAGTGAGCCCCCCAAGGGCAGCAAGAGAGAAACCCTTGGCCTGGCCTAATACTGGCAGGCCGTGTTCCCTCTTACTCACCTACCGAGTGGAGGAGTTCACGTCCTGGACTAGGGTTGCCGGGTCCGACTCGGGAAATATCTGGGGACTTTTGGGGGGTAGAGCCAGAAGCAAAGGGTGTGGCGTCACTTTTGAAGCCGGCGGGGGACTTTCCAGGAGCCTCTGGGAGAGGGGAGGGAAGAAATAATGGAGGGTGGGGGCACCTCCTTTCGGGGCTCATAGAGCCGGACTGGCTGGTCCAGTCCTCGATATGAGACCCTAGAGAGCAGCTGCCAGTCTGAGTAGACAATACTGAGTGTGATGGACCAGTGGGTTTGATTCAAGTATAAGGCAGCTTTGTGTGACATCTTGAAGGCCTTATTGAATACCTTTTAAGGAGTTGAGATTTCCAAATGCTGATGTATGTCTATATTTATGGCATTAAATCCAATTGCAACAACAACAATAATACAGTCCACAGTAAATTATAACCAGGGAAAACCAATAAATAACAACTGTGTACTGACCAACCCGCACAAGAGCTATTAGGAAGAGACTTCAACACAATAAGTAATTCAATACATGTAATCCATCATAGGAAAATACACAAGTTGAGATTGTTATTCTGGACTTTGTTCTTTCCCTTTGGGATATTATGGACTTGTGTATTTTCCCAACTGGGGATTGGCAACCCTGTCCTGAGCAGAATAGAGCTGCTGCAATCTTAAAACGGGCCATGGGCAGTGCAAGACCCTGCGCGGCTCCAGACTGCTGCAGAGCGGGGCTTCCTGTGTCCATGAGCACGGCTTTGAGGGAACACAGCTGGCAGGTCATATATAAGATTCGAGCCAAACACTTCAACAATATTTGACAGCTGTTGCCAACTGGTTACCAAGGGAGAGCTGCAGTAAGGCTAGGGTTGCCAGGTCCCCCGGCGGAGTGGGAGTTGACCCACTCGTCGGGCCCCTTACCCGCCGGCCCAGATCCAGTGGCCGGGGGGGAACCCCACCCCCAAAGTGCTGGGATCACGGGGGACATGCCCAGTGCGATGTCACCCGGAGGTGACGTCATCACGCTGGGCACATTGTGGGGGGCACTCTATCGTTTGAGGGAAAACTCTATGGTTTCCCCTCGAATGATAGGGGCCCCGCCCCCAAGTGCCCGACGCGATGATGTCACTTCCCGGTCACTTCCCGATGATGTCACTTCTTGCGCAGAAGATCTCCAGGAGAGGGCCCAGGACTCCCCTGCTGGAATGGGGGTGAGGTCTGGCAGCCCTCGGTAAGGCAGTTCCTAGGAAGTGCTTTCCTCAGGCCTGAACACAAATCCACGAAACTGTAGCCTGCGGGGTGTCTTGGAGGAAATGGGGCGGGGGGTGAGGAAAGGGTTAAGGCCCAAACCACCTGTACTGCTGAGTGGGGCTTTCAGCCTCTGTCCCAGGTCTGTCAACTTCCAGATGGGGCCCGGAGATCTCCCAGAATTACAGCTGATCTCCAGAGGGCAGAAATCAGTTCCCCTGGAGAAAACGGCTGCTTTGGAAGGGGGGCTCT